GCAAAGAGAAATTTTTTTTTTCCAGTTTTTCTGTTTTCAGTAATAGAAATTTTCTACTTAACGGTATTATTTTTGTCACAGGTTTAGTCAATTTTATCTAAACCTGTTTTCAAAATTGTTACAGAAATTTTTCACATGCAGTATTTTAGCTGAAGGCAACATGGAACATAATTCAAGAGTTATACTGAAATTTATTTCCAATAAATTAAACATTATATTGGACAGATAAATTGGAAGTAAATAGTAAAGTACATCAGTGTTGTAAAACTGCTTTGGCTTGGACTGTAGACAGATCAAAGTGTACATTAAAAATAGGAAATTAGTTTAGAAGGCAACAGTGAAGCTTAAAAACCCAAATAAAAAATCTTCAGCATACCTGATATGTTTTCCAATTCTGGCATGTAAATCCAGGACCACACTTAGAGCTTTCACTTTCAAATTTCCTTTGGTCTGAGTGGGAGATTACCCAAATATAGACAATAGGAACTCACCACAGAATAGTGTTTTTGAAGAAAGACAATTCTGTTACATACTTAGAGTTTTTGTAAAGTTTCCAAAACTTTAGTGAGAGTGAATCTTGAATAAGGCTAATGTTGAATTATTATTTTGATAGCAAAAACAGACAGCTGTTTTGGACCAAAAAAAGGGACATCTTTCTAAATATTTTTATTTTAGTAAAGCTGAATTTGTGACCTGTGTTAACTGCAAATGTAAGACCATTTTCACATGAAATAATATATACCTTTGAAAAAATGGTATGTACCTTTGAAGTTAATTATAAATCTCCTTGCCTTTTAGTATTCATCATCTTGTTTCTTCCATGTGAAGCAACTGTGACTCAAATTACAAAGTTGAAAGCACAGTTTTAAGGATTCTATTAGGTAATATCTTTGTACCTCTACACTCTTCTCCCCGCCTCAGAGACTATGAAGAAGATATTTCAAGAAAAGGGGATCTCAGCAGGAGAAGAAAGAGCTTTTCAACCACATCTGACCTTCATGAAGTTGTCAAAATCAACAGAGCTACGTAAGCAGGTGAGCTCACATTTCACGTAGATCAGCAGCAATCTAGAAAGTTTAATTTGGAGATGCACAAAGGTGCTGCTTATGCTGTAGCATCATACTTTGTAACCAGCTGAAGAGGTAAGACTTCAAAAATACTTATTTAGGAAAAATAATGCAGTGCATCTACCATATAAACATTAGTCCTGTACTGTAAGTTACCACTCTTGATATTCTCAGTACATTAATATCACAGTCTATTTTCTGTTGTGAAATTAGGCAAGACCAAAGGCTAAAAGTACTTGTTAAAGATTACAGAACTCTAATTAGGGTGTAGTTTGTACTCATGCTGTTTGTTTGCAAAGTTTTGTTTCTGTATAGGAGAAAACAAGCAAGTAAACAGTGAAATTTCTGTTTGGATTATGCATAATAGGCAGACTGTCAGTTCTACTGACTATGCTTTGGTGAATTTCAGAGTGGCGAGGAAACACATCTTCTATATTCTCTCTTGCATTTATTTCTTGCTTATTTATTAGCTTTTTTTGGACAAAATACAGAAATACATAAATGTAGATTATAACTGTCATAAAAATATATAGAAGCAATACCAGTGTACCTGTTTTTTATTGCATACTAATTTAACTGTAATACTGTATTGTATTATCTAACATAAGGTATATCTCCATAAATTTTTTTTGTTGACATTGTGCAGAATGTTTTATGTGATCCTTTACCATTCTCTAGGAAAATAAATTTCAGGAAAAATATTTTAAATAGGAATTAAATTACATAATATTTAATATTAAGTAGTAGTCTGAAATCAGTAGGCAGAAGGCAATGAGATTTCAGATACATAAGAAATTTCAAGGGCACACATACTTGCTCTAAAACAGAAATAAGGACTTATCCACAGGATGCAGGTGGCATATATATAGATATTAAATTTGTAGGCTCACATAAGCTTTTGCTTCTATTAACAGTTTTTTAAAAAACACTAATTTTAAAAAATCCACAGCTCTTCTAGAATATCAGCTGTTCAATAATTTCACTGTTTGGTTTAAACATCGAAGACAGTCAGGGTGGGGTTTTTGCCATTCTGTTTTCTGATTGTATTTTTGGCTGGTTCTTTGTTTCATTTATATTTATCTACCTTCCATGAAATATTGGCCAGGATGCATACTTTCTGTGTTATGATACTCAGTGCTGCTGACAGAACCAGGTCAATGTCATTCCAAATCATCTTCCTTAGCCCTCTATAATGCTGGATAATGCATATGGTATTCTAAAGATATACTGCATAGAAAGATACTATGTATTAAAAATCTGTAAATTTTTCTCTGTCAATTCAGTGTCAGGCATAAGCATTAATCTTTAGTGTAATTTTTTGTTTCATTGAGTACATGCATTTAGTTATATAATTTCATACGTTTACTGAAAGCAGTAAATACAAATATGAAACATTTGTATTTTGAGATCATACAAGAATATGAAAAGCAAGGAAGGGGGAATGAATGAAAATTACATGTGAAAGCATATGAAAGACCAAATAGTAGTAAAGTGGTTCAGTACAGTTCTCAACTATGTAGCTTTATAACTGTTAGTTTTAAATGTAAGTTTCCTTATTTGAAGCAATATTCTTCTAAGTCACCCTCCTTACAATGGCATCTAAATTCCACCAAATTTATCTTTTTTGGGAAAAAAAACCACCTGTTTTTAAAACTCTAGTACAGCTTTAGGCTGTTTGGAATGCATTTATTCTGAAAAGATTTTAACTTCCCTAGAGTTAAAAATATATTTACAAAACAAGGAGTTTGAGAATTCAGAACTAGGAAAGATCTCAAGAAATAAGCTTTTCACTTTGAAGGCACAGCATTAAGCTAAAAATGGTAAATGCAAAAAGCTTGGAAACAGGTATTAATAAAGGATAAAAGCATGAAATAAAGTTGAGCTACCTGGTTTACTGTACCCCTCTCAGCTTCTTAGATTAAAGGACTTATCTACCTACTCAGAAGTGGGAGCAACCCATTCTTCATGCTTAGTTGGACATTCCTGAGATCACATGCGCCACTGAAAACTTCCAAAATCAGTGTGCTTCTAGCTATCCTTGTGGAAGGAGATAAAGAGATACAATTTACTTGCACATGTTTAGCTATTTCCAGAATTATTTGAATGATAAGAATCTTGGGTTAGTATCATTATCTTCTATGCAAAGAACCTAATGAAACACAATGAAAGAAGTAACCAGAGTTTTGCACTTGAACATAACATTTCTATTTCTGCTTCCCTCACTTGCCTGGTAAGTTGCTGCAGGCTGCAGGTCAGTCACAACCCCTCTGTTTTTCATTTGCCCAGATTCCTGTTTATTTCAGGGTGTGCTGTGAGGCACACTTCATAAATGCTGTATGATGTTTGGAGGTCCTTTGATACCTAGTGCTTCCAGAACTGCAAATACTGTTAAATGAATTTCATAAGTAGAAGATGACTGACAGCTAAATTGATCCGATGGCGTCTGCTTAATTAGTACAGAGTATATACGTAGCTTAGACAGTGGCTGACAACAAAAAATGCCAAAAATATAATTTATGAATCTTTAGGATATTATATTCTTTTCTAAGGTGTATTTTTAGAATGCTGTATGCACAGATAGTAAAAGAGAACGTATTAGTGAGAAAACACTTGTGAGCGTTCTACAAGGCCTGATTCACTGTTACCGTTCAACTTTGATGGTAACATCATGGAGATGCTAGGTATTATTTTTCAGACAGTATTATTATAAGTGCACTGGAAACAGCATTAAATGCATGATTCAGTAAATTATTATTGTATTTTTTAACATAAATTATGTTAAACTTTTGTCACTCTCCAGTTTCATACAGAGGTAACATAAGGTGCTTATTTTGTAGTAATAATAATAATTTCCTTCATCACTAAGGAGGAAATTACACACTGAAACAAACTCAAAGCAAACTCAAAGCAGTGTCTTCAACTTCAAAAATTTGTGATTTGCCATCTTCAGCTAGACATACCTGATATCATGTTTAATACTGATAATTATGAAGGGAATTAATTTTTTGTCATGTAAATTTTCTCGTAGTTTATGTGACATTAATATTTTTGTCTTCTTGAAATCACATATAGCTGTGTGTCTGCTGATGTGTTTATTAGCCATAATATAAGCAGTTAGAGCAAATTTTGGCAGACAATAAGCTATCTAATGTCTCTTCTTATTTACATGAGGAATGTCACCTCGCTGCAGGAAAGGTTATTACTTCGATAGTACTTAGATACGGCTCTTGGGTCATTAATTTGTTTAATGTATTTTTCTTGTGTGTGCATACATTCAGTACTGTGTTCAATAAAGATCTTCTGCTTGACAAGAGAACTGAAAGGGAATCCTCCCTTCTGATATTTTATCTCTAATGTTAAGTTTTACTTAATACTTAAAAATAGAATAGAAAATGTGAATTTCTCTCTTACTTTCCTGGATTTATAATTTTGAATTTATTTATATCTGTGTGGCATAGACACATAGTTGTGATACAGGACCTTAGAAAAGAGAGTGATTCTCCAGCAAACCAAAGCATGTCTCAGTTCCTGGTGATTCTAACTTCCAGCAGTCTTTTTATAATAATTGCTGGGGTCTCTGGCATTTTGGACAGAAATACTGTATAAGAAAAGCCACAGAGCTCATTAAATCCCTCTGTATTTCCATTTATCAGCCTCTTTGTCAGTGGTTTGTATTGTGACAACTGTTACTTGCTGATACGTGTCAGAGGCACATACTTATTTGGAATCTTTGATGCTGATCCTAAAATTGCTGAAATAATCACTTTGGCACAACACAAAACAATAAGCATTTTGCTTTCACAGTCTTCTAAGACTTTACTATAGACAGTTTGTTAAAAGCTAAATGTACTGATAGTGAGCATTCTTTAAATTACCAAACTTTCCTACTGAACATAGTGGATAAGGTGCAATCTGTGCATTTACACATACCTGTTACAGGACTGAGGCTGCAGAAGGTAGCACCTCCTTACTCATGAACTCTTCCAAGTCCACATGGGGATCATCAAGGTCTAGGCAAAGAAACTTTTCTACAACGGACTTGCATTTTTCCATCCGATCTCCTTTTGAAGGATGATCAAGACATTTGATAGGTTTTCCATTGCGAATCAGTTCTGATATTTCCACTCCTCTTTCAATAATTTTGGCTGGCATTCCTGCTAATGCTGCAATGTTGGCAGCATGACTAACAGTGGACATGCCCTCTTTGATCTGATAGAAAAATATCAACTCCTCTCCATCTTGGTGGGTCTCCATGGTCAGATACTCCAGAAGAGGTGTGTCAGGCAGGAGTTCTAGCTGCATTAAACTGTGAAAATTAGTGGAGACAAAGACCTGTGGACACTGCGTTCCTTGTCTGATCCAGTACCTCAGGACAGCAGCCAGAAGGGACAGGCCATCCAGTGTGTTTGTCCCTTTACCAAACTCATCAATAAGTACCAGGGACCTCTCTGTGGCATTGTTTATGGCCTTGGCAACCTGGTTAAGATCAATCATGAAAGTGGAGAGCCCTACAGAAACCGATTCCCTACTGTGGATTCTTGTGTAAATGCCATCAATTACTCCAATCTCTGCCTCTGCTGCAGGGACATAACTGCCAATTAGAGCCATAAATACTATAAGACCTACTTGCTTTAAATAAACACTCTTTCCAGATGAGTTGGGCCCTGTGATGATCTTTATTCGCCTGGTAGCCTCACCACTGTTCACGGGATTGGCCACGAAAGTCTTTGCACACAGTTCCATGAGTGGATGTCTTCCGTCCTTGATGTGGAAGCCGTGGCGGTGAGTAAAGTGAGGTCGGCAGTAGGCGTTCTCCCGGGCCATTGCTGCCAAAGCTAGGAGCACATCCAGGTGTGCAGTGTACTCAATCACACTGTTAAGGACTTCAGACTTCTCCAAGATCTTTGTCTGCAGCTGGTGCATGATAAGTGTTTCCTGGTCTCTGACCTCAGAGTGCAAGTCACCCAGCAGGCTGTCCAGCTCCTTAGTCCGAGCACTTCTGTAGTGCAGTTTTTCGTCTGACAGGAACATGAAGTCCAGGCCTTCAATTTCGAAGTCACTCTTATCCACCATATCTGGTAGCCGTGGAATGGTGAGAAGGAACCCAATCAAAGGAATGTAGATCACACAGCAGGAGGGAATATGATCGTCCAAAGTCTCCAGTTCTTTTCGTGCCACTTCTGTAAGGAAGTCTGGCAGTCCCATCAGCTTTCGTTTCTTCTCATCCACAGTGGCATCCACATTGGGTCTAACAGTGAAGCGGTTCTGTGAAAGGCTGTCTTCAAAGTCTACCACTTTGCTGATTAGATTAGCAATGTAGTGCAGATCATCAGTAAAGACACGTGAAATAGTCTGAAAAAGTTCAATAGTGTTGGGCAGAGAACGACACGTGTCTCTAAGGCACACTGCATTGTATGCTGTTTTATAGAGTGCTTGCCAGTCACTAACTTTTGTGTTGGAAAGAGTCATTCTTTTTAGAATAAGAGGCACATTTTTAATATTCTTGAGGCAGTTTTGAAGAGTGAGGACTGTTTCATGGTTCTGAGCCATCAGGAAGAAGTTGATAACATCTAGCCGTTTGTTCAGCTCTGTCAAGTTCCGGGTAGGTCGTGTGAGCCACAGCCTCAGAAGTTTTTCTCCCCATTTGCATCTGCAGCGGTTTAAAATTCCATATAAGCTGAATCCTTCTTTTAGTCCACTGGACAGCTTGTACACAGAAGGATGGATATCACTTTTAAATATCTGCAGGACACAGTAAGTGTCTTGGTCCATATTCACAGTATCTGACAGCACAAATTTTTTAAAGGCCAAAATAGGAACTGCTATACTGCTGTCTTCAAGCTCAACTCCAACCCTTCTCCTGTCCAGAAACTTAAGGAGGCCCCCTAAGGCTCGTATCATGAGTGGACTTTCAAAAGGGATGATTGAGGACAAGTAGAGAATTTTCTCTGTTGCAGTCATATGAGATGGAATAAATGGAAATTGCCTAGATAGGATCCGTTGCTTGCTGACTTCTAGACCAAAATCTACATTAGGAAACAGGACAATTTCTGGTTTTCCAGTGTCTTTATCACCAGCAGTAGCTGTTAGGTTGGTCAGGAATTTGGCAATATTCTGGTCCTGTTTTGCACTGGTCACTATGCATTGAGGATTGAGTTCCCCAGTCACCTTTTGCAGTAGCTTGAGGTCTTCATTATCAGGCATCTCAGGCATGAAGTAGACTGAGCAATCTTCCGTATCATAATAAGTAATTGCCAGCTGCCCTGCATACCACAAAACAGACATGTGTATCTCAGAGCCCTCTTGGTCCTCTTGTTCAGGCTCAAGCAGTGGTAGCAAAGCATGGCTTGTGGCTGATGTGGCACTCATTCTGTTGACAAGAGATATTTTTATTCACAACTCATCCAAAAGGTCCTGAGAAGTAACTGTAATTGACAACAGCAGGTTAACAATCACTCTTCCAACTCTGGAGAAACTAAGAATCTACTAGGCGTTAACAATAAATGTTCAAGTGGAAAGATGCAGCCAGCATCTGAAAAGATACAGCTGCCATCTGCTTCCAAGCAAGGTGTAACAGAGCAAACTACCAGCAATGCTGGATTTACAGTTTTTCTTTGTATCCTTTATATTTTTTAAGTATGTATATATGCCCTAATGCCCATAAATACAGTCATGTACATGGGCATGTATATCAGTGTACAGAATCGTCCTCCCTCAGAGGTATGGGACACACACATGTGCTGACCTCAGCTCCTCACAGCAGTGCAGCCCATAACCTGGCCATCATTTCAGGGTCCGAGCCCGGTATTTGTGTAGCACCATCACACAGTACTATACAAGTACATAAGGGATCACCCATATTAATCCCCTGTCACCACCCCGCTTCCAACCCTCTCTCGCTTCTTCCCCCTCTACTCGCCCTCCTCACCACAGCCCGGCAGCTCGTCTGGGCTGTTGCGTGTCCTTGCAGCCCAGAAGCGTTCTCCTGACCCCCTTCCCCTGCCTCTCCCCACGCTCAGGCCCCGCCGCCGCCGGGCCCCGTCAGGCCGGCCGGACCCGCCCCCTCCGCAGAGCCCGCCGGGCGTGTCCCGGCAGATCCCTCCGGGCGTGTCCCGGCAGAGCCCGCCGGGCGTGTCCCGGCACATCCCTGCGTGACCGGGCCCTCAGCCGCACGGGGCCTCCCGGCTGGAGGGAAGCACCCCAGTGCTGTGCTGAGTGTGCGGTCTGGTACAGGGGACCTCATGCCGTGCCTCTCCAGGCCCACGTTACGTAACCATGTCCCTTTACAGGCATCATCCATCCATTACAGTTCTTCCTTCAAGAGGCAGGTGTCTTCCTTCTGCCCTCCCAGTACCAAATGCTTCAAAATAACCTCTCAAGTACCCTTGTTTCTCACTCCCCCCCCTTATGGCTTATCTCTGTAATCAGCATCCATACTATTCCCATGTGGTAACAACTTTTCTCTTTCATCTCTACTGTTCCAGACCCTTTCAGCTAAGAAATGAGCCATGCCCTTCCTATGCACCTGCTTTGTTTCATCCTTTCACATCACGCAGGCAGCACTCTAGCAATTGCTCCAGTTACTAAAAATAGAGTTTTCCCATGGCTGCTTTTCCAAATACCTTTCAGTAGTGCATCACAAGCACAACTCAATTCCTGAGCAGTCAGCATTTGATTCATACCTTACCAATCTGCCTTTGACAAGCAACATCCCTACCTCTTGTAAATGTTATTTTTTTATTGGAGCATGAAGTTGTGATTTTTATCTTTTCCTCATTTCATTCCAGAAGTACTCAAGGCTTCATATTTTGACAAGTGTTCTCCTGGCTGAAAAGGTCTTTTTTAATTACTAATTGATATCTGACTGTATTTCAAAGAACTGTCAACCAAAAAGCAAGGAATGATGATTTAATTTCAAAATAACTTTAGTACATAAGGACTAATCTAGCCACAGAAATCAAATTTCAAATAGTGATAGTGAGGATGGAATGAATGTAGTCTCCCAAGGAGATTGTGTACTGTGGAAAAACATCCACCACTAGATGTCATAATTTCAGAGATACAAAAGGAAATACAAAGACATTTCTGACCTTCGCTAAAGTAAAATTATGGGGACCAAAAGTCTCTAAATTAGACTTTAGAGACCCAGATGTGTGAGTACTTATGGAAGCAAAGAGCTTCTGAAGCCAATAATTTTGTACCTGAGTAAAAGGTCAGTAGACATACCAATGCTGAGCCTATCTTGCATATATGTAACTTTAAATGAAGCACCACAAGAAATGCATGAATATGATGCTCAGATGAATGCATACAGTGCAATGGTATAGTGAGGGAGGAGACAGTGTATGGTCCTTTCAGGGTGTCTGGTGAGGAGGGACCTTTGCAGTGCAGAAGGGGATAATAAGAAAAGGAGGAGGCCCTAAGCAACACACACAGAGACCCAAACCTGACCAACATATGATAAGGGAAGGGGTAACAAGAGCCAAAGCTGGTCAGCCCCACAGACTAATAAAGACATGTCAAGTGTAGGGATGTTCACTGCAGTAGGATTAAGGACCTTGTCAAATGAGATGGTAAGAGAAAGGAGGAGGGCAGAAGCAAAATATACAGAGACACAAACCTATTAAACTTAACATACAAGCCCAAGAAACAAACTTTGTCAGTCATAGTAACTGAGGGCCTATCAAGAAACTACAGGCAAACTGTGACTTTGCAACTGTTGGGAATGTAAAGCTGAGGGTCTGAGATGTTGGGAGGGGGGCTTGGTTGTACTGTGCAAATGGATGGGGGATGTGGGAGGTGCAGGGGAAGAACAGAGAAGGAGTGGACAGAACTGGCTGTAAAAGGGCCCAGTCCTGTGTCTCCTGTGAGCCCTGTCTATGGGTACCGTTGAGGGCAGTGGCATCCCATGTAGCCAGCCATGTCTGTGTCCTCTGAGCATGTGTGCGTATCTCTGGGAGGTGAAAGCAGCAGGTACATCCATCAAGACTGGGGTTCCAGGGCACTGGACTGGGCTCCAGCAGCCAGGCAGTAGGGAGCCCTGGGCTGGAGATACTAGAGGCAGCAGTGCTGCTAACATCCCCTAGCACATAGTAATGATACCTAAATAGCAAACAGCATTCTTGTGAAGTAGATTGAAGGAGAAAATAGCAAATTTCTATAGAGATCATATATTTTTATTTAAGATGCAAAGGAATTAGGACTCCTAAACTCATAAAATAACTACTGAAATTATGTTTTCTGAAAACAGCTCAATAGAAAATTTAATGTGTTATACTTCATATATGCAAAACTGTATTATTCCAATATGATAAATTGTGGTAAGTTTTAAGATTTACTGAGTTAAAAAACTCTATTCCTGGTAAAATACAACTACATTTTCCTGTGTGGTGATTTTAAAGATTCAGAAGACTGCCCTTGACATACTTTTGAGACTCTTCCTCGTAGTGGCATGCCCAAGTGATGACAGCAAAAATAATTCCCAGTGACATATTCCACGAACATTGTTGAAAACCACTGAAAATTAAAGCACTTGTGGCATTGTGTACGTCTGTTTCCTACAGGACTGAAGAGGAGGTGGTAGAAAGTAGGAGTAATGACACTTTTATTTCATTGTTTAAGTTTGCAAGCAGAAAATGCTTACCTGAAAAAAGAGATTTGGCATATTATTCTTTTTGCATCTTGACATAGTTTTCCATCCTAACTATACTTCTGGTTAAAATGAAAACTATAGGAATCAAATAAAAAATTTGTCTTCTAGTAGAATGCATTATTGAATTTTATGTTGCTTTTTAAAGGTGAAAAAAATTGACTCCAGCCTGTATGAAGATTTCAAAAGCCATTATTTTGGAGATGAGATCTTGCACCGCTTTGATCTTTGCTCCATGTTGAAAAAAAAGCAGCCAAATGGTTACTACTACTGTGAATCCTCTATTGTTTTTGGTAAGTACCTCTTCATTTTTGTCTTATCAACTGTGTCTCTGAGTTATATGCGTGAAAAGCCTTTTTTTTGAGTGTAAATTAGGCGTTTCTTGTAATATCCATGGAGTCAGACAGATATTTGTCCCTCAGCCCTGGCTCTGCAGGAACTCTGTGCAGTGGTTCTTACTGACAGCTAAAGTTTATGTTCAATTATCCATCCCCAGAATCCCATTCCATTTCTTATCCTAAAATGAGTGTTTAAGATTAGTGAGATGTATCACTCTCCAGAGCTGCTCATCTCTCTGTTGGCTTTAAAGATGGGTTGTGTGACTAAGTTAGATTAGACACAGTAATTTTAGGTGATTAAAGCTAAGTGAAATGTCTGGTTTGGCGGAGATGTGACCTTACTTGGACTATATTCATATACAGAGAAAATTTCAGTGTTACCACAGATTTGGTAATAACTCTAAGACTTTGAATATTGTACATTTAAGCATTGTGATACCTTGCTAGATAATTATAATCCTAGAAATCACAGTTGTGTCCTCCTGCTTTATCTGAACAGAAATACCACTTTTAAAAGTTAGTGCTGCTCCCAGGGCTATGCGTAGGGCTTTGGTGAAGATTTGGTTTCTCACTTGTGGTAACTTCTTTCCTTGTGCTGCAGCATTGCTGGTGGAAATGCTTCCTGGTCTGGAGGATTGCTTTGAGGACTTTTAATTAAATACTGGCACAATACTTTAAACATGTCAGGTGCTTCATAAATGCTAATTCCTGTCAATGTTTTTGTTTGCACTTAGGGTCATCTTTATTTAGCTTAGGTAGACTGTTAAAAAACAAATCAAAAGAAGTGCAGCAGAAAAAAGTGTAGGATGTGACAAAACTATTGCAAAATCCAGATCAGTCAAAATCAAAAGTCAGGTATATTTAAACATATCTATCTATCTATCTATCTATCTATCTATCTATCTATCTATCTATCTAATTTATTACCTTGTGTTATGCATATCTCATAGTTATGTTTATATTTGTATATATAACTATATATATATAATGTCTTCTGTACATGTTTGTAGATTTAAAGATTATCTAGGTGCATCCAAATGCTTAAGAGAAAGAGAAATTGTAAGATCATTTACTATGGTATAAAATTTTTATCTGGGTGAAATTGAGGCTCCACTATTCCCAAATATACCTCAGAGTATTTTGGAATATGTATCTGATTAAGGAATTTGTTAAATAACTAGATACAAAAAAAAAAAGCTATTTAGTAGTATGGTTGGTAGATATTTACAATGTTATTTCCCAAACATTTATTTAAATTTCTCTTCTTGACCTTGTGCTCTTACTGACATCTCAGAATGCTAAAATGGGACAGTCTTTCAGCAGTCTTTTGAATGTGAGTCCCATTAAATGGTTTATAACATCAGTCAATCAACTAGCATTCAAAGCAAGAATCACACGCTTGTTTGGCTTTGACTCAATCCTGGTATGACAGTGCGTAAAGAATTTATGTGTCATTTCCACACTCCAAACAGAACTCTCCTTTGAATTATATTTACATGAGCACTACATTTCTCTAGACATAGTATTTGAGTGGATGTTCTTCACTGATATCAGACTAAGAAAGTGCACTATTATTATCCCCATATTTTCATGGACTTCGATGCATCTTGGTGAAATATATGCATTTAATTTTCTGGTTTTGTACATGTTAATATATATTTATTTAAAGCAAACAGATGAAGGAAAATAGCATTATTAAAACAGAGTTTAAATGACTTGTTTTCTCATTCCAGAGAAGAAGAAATTATATTTAAATGAATTTTGAAAATTAATTTTAAAATGTTTTAAAATGTGATCTGAATAGAGTTTTTTAGTAAGTTTAGGTAGCTAGGACATTAAAATTAATACAACAGGGAGTTAATGCAGTTCTATTAATACATTAGAAATAGTGAAATTTGGAAATTACTTAATACAGACAAAACACTGTATCCTGGTCTAGTTCTTTCTACATGTACAGGCACTCAAGCAGTTATCTTCTTTCCTTGAAG